GGTCACTTGTTCGTTGAACATTGTTGTGATTAACGTAGGGACGTGTAAAGGCAACAGTCACAGTGAAGTTCACGCAGTGGAGGAATTGTCAAGTGAAGACTAACGTAGTGTTAACGATTTAACGAGCTGTCGTTAATTGATTGATTAACGTAAGGGGTTGACGGTCTGTTATGATCGGAGTCAATTGCGCTGTAATTAAGCTGCTGTAATTCGTTGGACTGATCAGATCTGTCTGCGGACAGAGTGATTAAGCACTCGTAGCTAATTAAAGATAATTAGTAACCGCCACTTAGTGAATTCACCAGGTGTTGATGTTGTTGTTTACACGGAGTGTGTTGTAACCTTGTGTGGTACAGTAGTCTACCCTCGTTAAGGTAATCTTGTCGTAAGACCGGAAGAGAACTGTCAGTTGAGAGACAGTAGGCTTTATCAATACTCGTCTGAATTAATAGGCTGTTGTATTCAGTAATTAATTGGGAATTACTCACCGAATGCTTGACTTTCAAGTTGATGTAATTAATTGATGTACGAGTTATTGCTGCCATTTAAGTGTCGTTGAGACACGTGTGTATTAACGTAATTGTTTAAATTCAATTAGAGTAACTTTTGTTTTTGATTGTCCTGAGAGACAAGTGTTAACGTAAGATTTTTTTATAAGGGGTTATCATTCTTGGATTAACCGCCTTGTTACTTGGTACCTCGTTGAGGGCAGCGAGCGCCAGTCAAGTTTTGTGATTATAGTATTGATCACCGTGAAGCCGTGACAATATTGATTGCAAGCTTGCGTCACCAGTGGGCACCACTTTGTTCAGTTAGTGTCATTGTTCAGTCAGCGACGACGGGATAAGGATACCGTGGGTCCATCAGGCTGTTGATTAGCTGTTCTTTAATGTGCCACTGGAGTGACAGTAAAGTAACGTAAATTCACTGTGTAGTAGTTTTAGTTTTGTTTTGTGAATAAATTGTTTTGTTATAGAAAACGGTCGTTTACGTCAAACCTTCCAATATTACTGCCCCACATTTCATGTTCTGCAACGCTTTGCCTGCTTATGTTCATATTAAGTCTGTATCTAAAGCTCGAGTCCATTGCACAGCACCACACTTCTATAAATAAGAAGTGAGAATCCGTCGGCTACCCTTTATTAGTTGTCAACTAGGAGGAGCCAGCGACCTAAGTGACAGGTGTTACCCGTGTGGTTTCGCCTGGCGGTTTGCTCCCGCGGTCCTATGATCTTAGGCTTTAAGATTAAATATCTGCCACTGGCAGCTCTTGCTGTTTAAGGTCTGCCTCTCTTGCGAGGTAGTTACGATTAACGTAACATCAATAGGACTTAATTCTTTTGATAACCTGTCAAAGAAAAAAATCTCAAAGGCATGTGGAGATGTGATGGTGCCATTGTGTCCGCCGGCATGTGATGGTACCATTGTGTCCGCCGGCATGTGATGGTACCATTGTGTCCGCCGCCAAGTGGTGATGTGACGGTACCATTGTGTCCGCCGGCATGTGATGGTACCATTGTGTCCGCCGGCATGTGGAGATGTGACGGTACCATTATGTCCGCCGGCATGTGATGGTACCATTGTGTCCGCCGGCATGTGATGGTACCATTGTGTCCGCCGGCATGTGATGGTACCATTGTGTCCGCCGGCATGTGGAGATGTGATGGTACCATTGTGTCCGCCGGCATGTGGAGATGTGATGGTACCATTGTGTCCGCCGGCATGTGATGGTACCATTGTGTCCGCCGGCATGTGATGGTACCATTGTGTCCGCCGGCATGTGATGGTACCATTGTGTCCGCCGGCATGTGGTGATGTGATGGTACCATTGTGTCCGCCGGCATGTGGAGATGTGATGGTACCATTGTGTCCGCCGGCATGTGATGGTACCATTGTGTCCGCCACCATGTGATGGTACAATTGTGTCCGCCGGCATGTGATGGTACCTTTGTGTCCGCCGGCATGTGGAGATGTGATGGTACCATTGTGTCTGCTGGCATGTGGTGGTACCATTGTGTCCGCCGGCATGTGATGTGATGGTACCATCGTGTCCGCTGGCATGTGGTGGTACCATTGTGTCTGTTGGCATGTGGAGATGTGATGGTACCATTGTGTCCGCCAGCATGTGGTGGTACCATTATGTCCGCCAATATGTGGAGATGTGGTGGTACCATTGAGTCCGCCGGCATGTGGTGATGTGATGGTACCATTGTGTCCGCCGGCAAATGATGTGATGGTACCATTGTGTATAACAGCATGTGATGTGATGGTACCATTGTGTCCGCCGGCATGTACTCACCTAATTGTGCTTGCGAGGGTTGAGCTTTGTCTCTTTGGTCCCGCCTCACAACTGTCAATCAACTAGTGTACAGATTCCTGAGCCTATTGGGCTCCCATGGGGTGATGTGATGGTACCTTTGTGTCCTACTTGATGGGGTTCTAGGAGTTCTTCCACTCCCCAAGCCCGGCTTGAGGCCAGGCTTTACTTGTGAGAGCTTGTTCCACCAGGCTGTTGTTTGGAGCGACCTGCAGGCCCACATACCCACCACAGCCCGGTTGGTCTGGCACTTTTTTTTTAGAAAACAGTCTAGTTTCCTCTTGAAGATGTCCACGGTTGTTCCGGCTATAATTCTTATAGTCGCTGGGAGGACGTTGAACAGCCACGGCCTCTTTATTGGTTCTATTCTGCATTTTCTTCCATATCGTTCACTCCAGTACGTTTACTGTTTAGATTTGGGACCTGGCCCTCCAGTATTTTCCATGTGTATATTATTTGGTATCTCTCTCGTCTCTTTTCTAGTGAGTACATTTGAAGAGCTTTGAGATGATCCCAATAATTTAGGTGCTTTATCGCGTCAATGCGTGCCGTATATATTCTCTATGTTCCCTCTATTTCAGCAATCACTCCTGCTCTGAAGGGGGAAGTGAGTACTGAGCAGTACTGAAGACGGGACAACACAAGTGACTTAAAGAGAACAAGCATTGTGATGGGATACCTGGATTTGAAAGTTCTCGTAATCCATCCTATCATTTTTCTGGCTGCCGCAATATTTGCTTGATTATGCTCCCTTAAGGTTAGGTCGTCGGACATCATTATTCCCAAATCCTTGACATGCTGTTTTCCTACTATGGGCAGATTCGATTGTGTTTTGTACCCTGTATTATGTTTCAGATCCTCATTTTTGCCGTACCTGAGTACCTGGAATTTATCACTGTTAAACATCATGTTATTTTCTGCTGCCCAAATCGAAAACTTTGTTGATATCTGCTTGTAGTTTTCCATGTCTTCCGCAGAGGTAATTTTCATGCTGACTTTTGTGTCATCTGCAAAGGATGACACGAAGCTGTGACTTGTATTTTTGTCTGTATCTGATATGAGAATAAGGAAAGGCAGTGGTGCAAGGACTATACCTTGAGGTACAGAGCTTTTAACTGCGCTTGGACTCGATTTTATTTGATTGACTGTTATGTTTTATGTTCTGTTCGACAGGAAATTGAGTATCCAGCGCCCTACTTTACCAGTTATTTCCATTGACCTCATTTTGTGTGCTATCACTCCATTTGTCGAATGCCTTTGCATAGTCTGTGTATACTACATCTGCATTTTTCTTTTCTTCTAGAGCTTCTGTGATTTTGTCATAGTGGTTGAGTAACTGTGACAGACAGGATCTTCCTGCTCTAAATCCATGTTGTTCTGGGTTCTGTAGCTCATTATTTTCCAGACAACTAGAAATTTGATTCCTAATCACTCTTTCAAAATTATTCCTAATCACTCTTTTATTATGTGTGATGTTAGTGCAACTGGTCTATAATTTTTTGACAAGGCTTTACTACCCCTCTTGTGCAGAGAAGCTATTTCTGCTGATTTAAATGCAACTGGCACCTCCCCTGTATCCAGGCTCTTTCTCCATATTATGCTGAGCGCTCGTGCTATTGATACTTAACATTTCTTAATGAATATTGAATTCCACGGGTCAGGCCCAGGAGCTGAGTGCATGGGCATATTGTCAATTTCTGTTTCAAAGTCTTCCGAGTTTGTGTTAATATCCGTTATATTATCTGCAGCTTGAATGTTATTCATAAAGAAGCTGTTTGGATCATCAACTTTCATGTTATTTATTGGTGTGCTAAACATAGCCTCATACTGGCCTCTTAGAATTTCACTAATCTCTTTGTTGTCCTCTGTGTACGTACCTTCATTTGTAATTAACGGTCCAATACTGGTCGAGGTTTTGGATTTTGATTTTGCGTATGTGAAAGAATATTTCGGATTTTTCCTTATACCTTGTATAGCTTTCTGTTCCAATTCCATTTCCTCAGACTCATATGATCGCTTCAACGTTTGTTCTATTTCTTCGATCTCCCTGCTTAGGCTTATTTTCCTTGCTTGTGATAGCTGTGTCTGCTGAAGCATTTCCGTTATTTTTTTTCTTCTCCTGTACAGTCGTCTGCGTTCTCTTTCTAGAGTGGTCCTCTTTCTGCCCCTCCTCACAGTCACGTGCTTCAAGCAGACCTTGTAAGCTTCAGCTGTCAGTTGAGCTATACCCTGTGTGAGAGTTTTGTCGCTTAAGACCGTCTCCCATTGAATGGTTGCAAGGTCTACATTTATTTTTTCTCAGTCAATCCTCCTATTGTTCAAATTGAATTGATTGAATATTCCTTCTCGCTTGTTGGGTCTCTTAGACTTACTACCGTTATTTATGCTAGTTCGCACTTCAATGAGCTTATGGTCTGAGTATGAAGTATCTGAGATTGTGATGTCTCTGATTAGTTCATCATTGTTTGTGAATAACAAGTCTAGTGTGTTTTCGTTCTTAGTTGGTTCTGTAATCCCTTGATTGAGCGAGAATTCTTCACAGAATCTCAAAAGTTCTCTGACTTGTGGTTGGTTATTTCCCGGGACTTTAAATACTTTGATATTTTTGTTTGCAATTCTCCATCTTAAACTTGGTAAATTGAAATCTCCAAAGAAGATAATATCTGGAGCTGGGTTCGCTAGATTATCTAGGATGTTCTCTATTTTGTGCACTTGCTCTATGAATTCTTCCACCTTTGTATCTGGCGGTTTATATATTAGAATAATAATTAGGTTTATTTTTTCTACTTTAATTCCAAGTACCTCTAACACCTCATCAGTTGAGTTTAGTAGCTCTGTGCATACCAGGTTCTCTTTAATATACAGACCTACTCCTCCATTTGACCTAGTTTCTCTATCACATCTGTATAAATTATAATTTGGAATCCAGATTTCACTCTTCATGTAATCTTTTGTATGCGTTTCCGTGAATGCCCTAAATATTCAGTTTGACTCTAATAGGAGGCCATTTATGAACTTAACTTTATTTCTTGATTTTGACTTTAGGCTTTGTATGTTGGCAAATATGAATGATCTTCGATATTGTGTGTCACTTCTAAAAAGTTTTGCTAGTTCTGCCTCCTCCTCACCCTGACCCAGGGTGTGCTGGTCTGGCAATGGTTTGTCCAGTTTTGAAAGTGGTACTGGGAAGTGTGGTAGTTTCTGTGTAGTCAGGGGGGGGGGGAGGATGTAGTATGTGTGGGCTTGATGATGAATCGTAGTCCAGTCTTGGGCATTTCCCGCTCTCCATCCGTACTCCTGCAACGTTTCTGCCTGTCTGTTCCTCTCTCTGGTTCTTCCTGTCTCTAAAAAAATTCCATGGCTATTATATTGGACTTCCTCTCTTATATAGCGCTGTGTACCTCTCACGTGGAAATCAGGGCAATGAAAATCGTAGCATTTCCTCTCATTAACTGAGAGTTTGCATAGTTTAGGGTGGAAATATCTACACTGTACCAAAACAACATCTGCCTTTCCCTAACATGTTTCGGCATTTCCAGGGATACATGAATGTGCATTCCGTGCCTCTGGTCCCATATCTACACTGTCCTTTTGCATAATACCTGCAAATATTTTCACCTGTGCTTGTATTCTTATTGTTTGTACCCGTGCACGACTTGGCTACCTCTGTGTCTTTTGTTCCAACTTCCTCGTTTCCACATTCTTTCTCGGTATTGCCCTTATCTTTCTGCTTGTTGTTTTCGTCTTTCTCATTTGTGTTCTCGTCCTTCTCACTTTTTCTCTCCTTACTCCTATTATCAGTTTGATCTTCAATATTGCCTTCATTTACGTGTACCTTGACACAATGTCCTTTTACATTGCTAATTTGGCTCTCTAAACTCTCAGTCCCTGGGTTGTGTTTAGTGTTCGTTGCTGTCTTTAAATATTCTGCATACATTTCTGGTAGCTTTTGTGTTAATAGTAGACTATGTACTTCAGGAACGTCATTCATTAGTTTGATAATGTTTTCTCACATCTGTCTATCATTGTGACAGATCCAGTAGTTACCCTGTCTGTTTGCATATAGTGTAGGTAATCTTGTACAACTCAGGTGAAATCTTATGTTACAAATGTTACATACAATCCCTACAACACTCTTCCGAAGTGGCTTGTCCGCCGGCAGCGGACATTATTATACATCACCACATGTCCGCCGGCATGTGGTGATGTGATGGAACCATCGTGTCTGTTGTCATGTACCTTGACAGCACGTGTTGCATCACCTTGCACCGGGCTCTTGCTTGCTGGACCGGCTGATATCTGCCGCAGCAGCATATCGATAATTTGTTTCTGAGAATTCTTGATTTGGCTAAGAGCGTCCTCAAGTGAACAAGTTGTGTCCGTTTATTGTATATTTAGCGTATGTCCTGACACACAAAGTGCATACCAGATATATATAGTGTCATAGTACCGTAGTGATATATACATCTCAAAGTGCCTACTCCGATATACAGTGCCGTACAAACCACAAAGTATCAACCCCCCCCCCCCCAGTACATTGTGTTATACATATCATGAAGTGCCGAACCTCATATTCTCAGCGTCATATATACTCTGGTGCATATATATGAATATATAGAGTATGTCATGTGTATAGTCCACCCAATACTACCCCCATCAAACCAACCACACCCCCCTTCCACCTCTCTGGCACCCACACCCACCGGCCCACCTCACCACCTGTGTTGACCCTGTGTGTTTGGTTCCTACTATCGAATATTGTACAGTTTAACACTCTCTAAACGGAGTAGAACTGGAAGGGGTCCCAGCAGGCGAGCAGGACCCCACAAGCCTCGAGGTGCCAACACTACTACTAGAAGAGGTTTTTAACGGATTTGCAACAAAACCTCCCAAGTCCCCTGCACCTCCCAAGTCCCCTGCACCTCCCACGTCCCCTGCACCTCCCACGTCCCCTGCACCTCCCACGTCCCCTGCACCTCCCACGTCCCCTGCACCTCCCACGTCCCTTGCACCTCCCACGTCCCCTGCACCTACCACGTCCTCTGCACCTCCCACGTCCCCTGCACCTCCCACGTCCCCTGCACCTCCCACGTCCCCTGCACCTCCCACGTCCCCTGCACCTCCCACGTCCTGTGCACCTCCCACGTCCCCTGCACCTCCCACGTCCCCTGCACCTCCCACGTCCCCTACACCTACCACGTCCTCTGCACCTCCCACGTCCCTTGCACCTACCACGTCCCCTGCACCTCCCACGTCATTTTCACCTCCCACGTCCCCTGCACCTCCCACGTCCCCTGCACCTCCCACGTCTCCCTGCACCTCCCACGTCCCCTGCACCTCCCACGTCCCCTGCACCTCCCACGTTCCCTGCACCTACCACGTCCTCTGCACCTCCCACGTTCCTTGCACCTACCACGTCCTCTGCACCTCCCACGTAATTTGCACCTCCCACGTTCCCTTCACCTCCCACGTCCCCTGCACCTCCCTCGTACCTGCACCTCCCACGTCCCCTGCACCACCCACGTCCTCGGCACCTCCAACGTCATTTGCACCTCCCACGTCCACTGCATCTCCCACGTCCCTTACACCACCCACGTCCCCTGCACCTCTCACATCCTCCGCACCACCCCACGTCCCTTGCACCTCCCACGTCCACTACTCCTCCCACGTCCCCTGAATCACCCATGTCCCCTGCACCTCCCATGAACTTTGCACCTCCCACGTCCCCTGCACCTCCCACGTCCCGTGCACCACCCACGTCCCCTGCACCACCCACGTCCCCTGCACCTCCCACGTCCCTGCACCCCCCACGTCCCTTGCACCACCCACGTCCCCTGCACCACCCACGTCCCCTGCACCTCCCATGTCCCTTGCACCTCCCACGTCCCCTGCACCTCCCTAGTCCCTTGCACCACCCACGTCCCCTGCACCACCCACGTCCCCTGCACCTCCCACGTCCCCCTGCACCACCCACGTCCCCTGCACCACCCACGTCCCCTGCACCACCCACGTCCCCTGCACCACCCACGTCCCCTGCACCTCCCTAGTCCCTTGCACCACCCACGTCCCCTGCACCACCCACGTCCCCTGCACCTCCCACGTCCCCCTGCACCACCCACGTCCCCTGCACCACCCACGTCCCCTGCACCACCCACGTCCCCTGCACCTCCCACGTCCCCTGCACCACATGCGCATACCCCTAAGAAAAAAGAGAAAGAGATGCAGATTGGAACGAGAACGTCGTTCCTTATATAGGCGAAGAAAACGAATCGCGGAACAACTTGAGAGTCGCACCCTATCTCAAGAACGGCGAAGAAGGTTAGGTAGAGAAATAGAAACAATTGAACTCAAGCTACAAGAATCATACAAAACCCAGTAGAGGCAAAGAGAGCAAGAGGCCATCAGTGAAATAGAGAGAAATCCGAAATATTTTTTCTCTTATGCAAAATCAAGATCAAAAACCACATCTAGTACCGGGCCCCTGCGAAAGAGAGATGGAACTTTCACCGATGACAACAAAGAAATGAGCGAGTTACTGAGGAAGCAGTACGACTCTGTTTTCAGCGAGCCATTAAATGCACTAAAAATTGATAACCCAAATGAATTTTTCATGGATATGATACCAACATCAAATCATATATCAGACGTCGCCCTATCCCCACTAGATTTTGAAGAAGCCATAAACAGTATGCCTATGCACTCTGCACCAGGCCCGGATTCTTGGAACTCCATATTCATCAAGAACTGTAAAAAACCGCTATCGCAGGCCCTCCACATTCTGTGGAGACAAAGCCTAGATACTGGCGTTATCCCTGATATACTAAAAACAGCAGAGATAGCACCACTCCATAAAGGAGGAAATAAGGCAGAGGCAAAAAATTACAGACCGATAGCACTAACATCGCACATCATAAAAATTTTTGAGAGAGTGCTAAGAAGTAAGATCACAAAATACATGGAATCACAGCATCTCCATAACCCCGGACAACATGGTTTCAGAACAGGGCGCTCTTGCCTGTCGCAGTTGCTGGACCACTATGATATGGCATTAGATGTTATGGAAGACAAACAAAACGCTGATGTAATTTACACAGATTTCGCAAAAGCTTTTGATAAATGTGACCATGGTGTTATTGCACATAAAATGCGTTCAAAAGGAATTACCGGCAAAATAGGCAGATGGATCTACAATTTCCTGACTAACAGAACCCAATGTGTAATAGTCAACAAAATAAAATCCAGCCCATCAACCGTGAAGAGCTCAGTCCCCCAGGGTACTGTGCTTGCTCCAGTACTTTTTCTCATCCTCATATCGTTACATAGACCAGAACACAACCTATAGCACTGTATCATCCTTTGCAGATGACACTAGGATTTTCATGAGAGTTGGCAACATAGAGGACACGGCAAACCTCCAATCAGATGTAGATCAGGTCTTTCTATGGGCTACAGAAAATAATATGGTGTTTAACGAGGATAAGTTCCAGCTCATGCGCTACGGAAAAATTTAAAATATAAAAACAGAAACCACGTACAAAACTCAGGCAAATCATAACATAGAACGAAAAGGCAATGTAAAGGATCTGGGTTTACTCATGTCGGAAGACCTTACCTTTAAAGAACACAATAAAGTAGCCGTCACAACTGCAAGACTGCAAAAACACAAACAAAAAGACAAACCTGCACACAGAAATAACATTACATGAGACCAGAACACATGGCAGGATGTGCAGAATACCCCCTTTGAAAAGCAGAGGTGCAACAGGTACTCTGAGAGAGAACTCTATCAACATCAGAGGCCCGAGACTGTTCAATACGCTTCCGCCACACGTAAGGGGCATAACTGGCCGACCCCTCACAGTGTTCAAGAGAGAACTGGATAAGCACCTCCAAAGGATACCTGATCAACCAGGCTGTGACTCATACGTCAGGCTGCGAGCAGCCGCGTCTAACAGCCTGGTTGATCAGTCCAGCAACCAGGAGGCCTGGTCGACGACCGGGCCGCGGGGACACTAAGCCCCGGAAGCACCTCAAGGTAACCTCAAGGTAAGGTAACCACCCACGTCCCCTGCACCTCCCATGTCCCTTGCACCTCCCATGACCCCTGCACCTCCCATGACCCCTGCACCACCCACGTCCTCTGCACCACCCAAGTCCCCTACACCACCCACGTCCCCTGCACCACACACGTCCCCTGCACCTCCCACGACCCCTGCACCACACACGTCCCCTACACCACCCATGTCCCCTGCACCTCCCAAGTCCTTTGCACCTCCCACGTCTCCGGCACCTCCCACGTCCTCTGCACAACCCACGTCTCCTGCACCAACCACGTCCCCTGCACCTCCCACGTCCCCTGCACCACCCAGGTCCCTTGCATCTCCCAAGTCCCCTGCACCACCTACGTCCCCTGCACCTCCCACGTCCCCTGCACCTCCCACGTCCCCTGCACTTCCCACGTCCCTTGTTCCACCCACGTCCCTTGCACCTCCCACGTACCCTGCACCTTCCAGGACCCTTGCACCACCCACGTCCGCTGCACCAACCCACGTCCCTTGCACCACCTACGTTCCATGTATTTCGCACGTCCCCTGTACCTCCCACGTCTCCTGCACCTCCCATGTCCCTTGAATCACTCACGTCCTCTGCACCTCCCTTGTCCCTTGCACCTCCAACGTCCCCTATCCCTCTCACGTCCCTTGCGTCTCCCACGTCCTTTGCACCACCCTCGTCCCCTGCACTACCCACGTCCCCTGCACAACCTACGTTCCTTACACCACCCACGTCCCTTGCACCTCGCACGTCCCCTGCACCACCCCACGTCCCATGCACCTCCCACGTCCACAACTCCCACGTCCCCTGCACCTCGTACGTCCCCTGCAACTCCCATGTCCGCTGCACCTCCCACGTTCCTTGCACCTCCCTCGTCCCCTGCACCACTCACGTCCCTTCCACCTCGCACGTCCCTTGCACATCCCACGGCCCCTGCACCTCCCCCGTCCACTGACCTTCCCAAGTCCCCTGCACCTCATATGTCCCCTGCACAACCCACGTCCCCTGCACCACCCACGTCCCCTGCTCCACCCACGTCCCTTGCACCACCCACGTCCCTTGTATTTCGCACGTCCCCAGCACCTCTCATGTCTCCTGCACCTCCCACGTCCCTTGTACCTCCCACGGCCCTTGCACCTCCCACGTCCCCTGCACCTCCCAAGTCCCTTGCACCTCTCACGTCCCCTGCACCTCGTACGTCCCCTGCACCTCTCATATCCCCTGCACCTCCCACGTTCCTTGCACCTTCCACGTCCCCTATGTCATCCACGTCCCTAAAACATCCTACGGACCCTGAACCTCCCATGTCCCTTGCACCACCCACGTCCCCTGCATCTCCCACGTCCCTTGCACGTCCCACGTCCATTGCACCACCCACGTCCCTTGCACCTCCCACGTCCCTTGCACCTCCCACGTCCCTTGCACCACCCACGTCCCCTGCACCTCCCACGTCCCTTGCACCATCCACGTCCTTGCACCACCTAAGTCCCTTGCACCTCCCACGTCCCTTGCACCACCCACGTCCTCTGCACCTCCCATGTCCCCTGCACCTCCAACGTCCCTTGCACCTCCCACGTCCCCAACACCACCCACGTCCCCTGCACCTCCCACGTGCCATGAACCTCCCACGTTCCCTGCACCTCCCACGCCTGATGCACATCCCTCGTCCCTTACACCACACACGTCCCCTGCACCTCCCACGTCCCTTGCACCACCCACGTCCCCTGCACCACCCACGTCCCCTGCACCACCCACGTCCCCTGCACCACCCACGTCGTCTGCATCTCCCCGTCCCTTGCATCTCCTTCGTACCCTGCACCTCCCACGTCCCCTGCACCACCCACGTCCCTTGCAGCACCCACGTCCCCTGCACCACCCACGTCCCCTGCCCCTCCCACATCCTCTGGGACACCAAAGTCCCCTGCACCACCCACGTCCCCTGCACCTCCCACGTCCCCTGCAGCACCCACGTCCCCTGCACCACCCACGTCCCTTGCACCACCCACGTCCCCCTGCACCACCCACGTCCCCTGCACCTCCCACGTCCCCTGCAACACCCACGTCCCCTGCACCACCCACGTCCCCTGCCCCACCCACGTCCTTTGCACCACCCACATTCCATGCATCTAATACGTCCCCCTGCACCTCCCACGACCCCTGCGGCACTCACGTCCCTTGCACCATCCACGTCCCCTGCACCACCCACGCCCCCTGTATTTCGCACGTCAACTGTAACTCCCACGTCTCCTGCATCTCCCACGTCCCTTGCACCTACGACGTCCCCTGCCCCTCTCACGTCCCTTATTGCGTCTCCCACGTCCCTTGCTCCAACAACGTCCCTTGCACCTCCCACGTCCCATGCACCTCGCACGTTCCCTGCACCTCTCACGTCCCCTGCACATCCCACGTCTCCTGCACCTCCCACGTCCCTTGCACCTCCCTCGTCCCCTACACCACCCACGTCCCCTACACCACCCACGTCCCTTGCACCAACCACGTCCCCTGCACCACCCACGTCCCTTGCACCACCCACGTCCCTTGCACCTCCCATGTCCCTCTCAGGTCCCTTGCGTCTCCCACGTCCTTTGTACCACCCACGTCTTCTGGACTACCCACGTCCCTTTAACCACCCACGTTCCTTACACCACCCACGCCCTTGCACCACCTACATTCCTTGCACCAACGACGTCCCCTGCACCTCTCACGTGCCCTGCACCTCCCATATCCCTTGCACCTCGCACGTCCCCTGCACCTCCCACGTCCACTGCACCTCCTACGTCCCCTGCACCTCCCACGTTTCCTGCACCTCTCGCGTTCCCTGCAGCATCCACGTCCTTACACCTTCCACGTCCCTTGCACCTCCCACGTTCCCTGCACCTCCCACGTCCCTTGCACCTCGCACGTCCCCTGCACCTCCCACGTCCCCTGCACCTCCCACGTCCCCTGCACCTCGTACGTCTCCTGCACCTCCCACGTCCCATGCACCTCTCGCGTTTTATGCAGCATCCACGTCCTTACACCTTCCTCGTCCCTTGCACCTCCCACGTCCCTTGCACCTCCCTCGTCATCTGCACCACCCACGTCCCCTGCACCACCCACGTCCCTTGCACCACCCACGTTTTCTGTATTTCGCACGTCCCCTGCACCACCCTCGATCCCTGCACCTCTCACGTCCCCTGCATCACCCCACATCACTTGCACCTCCCACGTCCACAACTCCCACGTCCCCTGCGCTAACCACGTCCCTTGCACCACCCACGTCCTTGCACCTCCCACGTCCCTTGCACCTTCCACGTCCCTTGCACCTCCCACGTCCCCTGCATCTCCCATGTCCCCTTCACCTCCCACGTCCTTTGCACCTCCGACGTCCCCTACACCTCCCACGTCCCTTGCACCACCCACGTCCTTGCACCTCCCACGTCCCCTGCATCTCCCACGTCCCCTGCACCTCTCATGAACTTTGCACTTCCCACGTCCCCTACACCTCCCACGTCCCTTGCACCACCCACGTCCTTTGCACATCCCACGTCCATTGCATCCCACCACGTCCCTTGCACCACTCATGTCCCCTGCTTTTCCTACGTCCTCTGCACCACCCACGTCCCCTACACCTCCCACGTCCCTTGCACCACCCACATACCTAGCACCTCCCACGTCCCTTGCACCTCCCACGTCTTCTGTACCTCCCACGTCCCTTGCACCCTCACGTTTCCTGCACCACCCACGTCCCCTACACCACCCACGTCCCCTGCTCCTCCTACGTCCTCTGCACCACCCAAGTCCTCTGCATCACCTACGTCCATTGGACCTCCCACGTCCCTTGAACCACCCACGTCCCTTGCACCTCCCACGTCCCTTCGACCTCCTACGTCCGTTGCACCACCCACGTCCCTTGCACCTCCCATGTCCCCTGCACCACCCACGTCTTCTGCACCACCCACGTCCCCTGCACCACCCACGTCCCTTGCACCTCCCACGTCCCTTCGACCACCTACGTCCGTTGCACCACCCACGTCCCTTGCACACGTCCCTTGCACATCCCGTCACCTGCACCACCCACGTCCCACTACCCACGTCCCCTGCACCACCCACGTCTTCTGCACCACCCACGTCCCCTGCACCACCCACGTCCCCTGCACCACCCACGTCCCTTGCACCACCCACATCCCCTGTATTTCGCACGTCCCTTGCACCTCCCACGACCTCTGCACCTCTTACGTCCCTTGCACCTCCCACGTCCCCTGCACCTCCCACGTCCCCTGCACCACCTACGTCCCTCACGTCTCCCACGTCCTTTCCAAAATCTATGTCCCGTGATCCTCCCACGTCCTCGACACCAAATACGTCCCATGCACCTCACACGTCCCCTACACCTACAACGTCCCCTTCACCTCCCACGTCTCCTGCACCTCCCACTTCCCGTGCACTTCCCACGTCCCTTGCACATTCCCACCTTCCCTGCACCACCCACGTCCCGTGATCCTCCCATGTCCTCGACACCAAACACGTCCCCTACACCTCCCACGTCCGCTGCAGCTCCCACGTCCTTTGCACCTCCCACGTCCCCTGCACCTCCCACGTCCCCTGCACCTCCCACGTCCCCTGCACCTCCCATGTCCTTGCAGCACCCACGTCCCTTGCACCACCCATGTCCCATGCACCTCCCACGTCCCCTGCACCTCCCACGTCCCTTGCACCACCCACGTCCCCTGCACCTCCCACGTCCTTGCAGCACCCACGTCCCTTGCACCACCCATGTCCCATGCATCTCCCACGTCCCCTGCACCTCCCACGTCCCCTACACCACCCACATCCCCTGCACCACCCACGTCCCTTGCACCACCCACGTCCCATGTATTTCGCACGTCTTCTGCACCATCCACGTCACTTTCACGTCCAACGTTTCCTGCACCACCCAGGTCCCCTGAACCTCCCACGTCCCCTGCACCTCCCACGTCCCCTGCACCACCCACGTCCCTTGCACCTCCCACGTCCCCTACACCACCCACGTCCCCTGCTCCTCCCACGTCCCCTGCAGCTCCCACGTCCTTTGCAACATCCACGTCCCCTGCACTTCCCACGTCCCCTGCACCTCCCACGTCCCTTGCACCTCCCACGTCCCTTGCACCACCCACGTCCTTAAACCACTCACGTCCTCTGCACCACCCACGTCCCTTGCACCTCCCACGTCCCTTGCACCTGCCACGTCCCCTGCACCTGCCACGTCCTTTGCACCTGCCACGTCCCCTGCACCTGCCACGTCCTTTGCTCTTCCCACGTCCCTTGCACCTCCCACGTCCCCTGCGCCTCCCACGTCCCTAGCACCTCCCACGTCCCCTGCACCTCCCACGCCCCTTCCACCATCCACGTCCCTTGCACCTCCCACGTCCCTGGCACCACCCACGTCCTTTGCACCACCCACGTCTCCTGCCCCTCCCACGTCCCTTGCACCTCCCACGTCCCTTGCAACTCCCACGTCCCTTGCACCACCCACGTCCTTAAACCACCTACGTCCTTTGCACCACCCACGGCCCTGGCACCTCCCACGTCCCCTGCATCTCCCACGTCCCCTACACCTCCCAAGTACCTAGCACCATCAACGTCCCTTGCACCTCCCACGTCCTTTGCACCTCCCACGTCCCATGCACCTCCCACGTCCCCTGCACCTCCCACGTCCCCTGCACCACCCACGTCCCCTGCTCCTCCCACGTCCCTTGCACCTCCCACGTCCCTTGCACTTCCCACGTCCCTTGAACCTCCCACGTCCCTTGCACCACCCACGTCCTTAAACCACCTACGTCCTTTGGACCACCCACGGCCCTTGCACCTCCCACGTCCACTGCATCTCCCACGTCCTCTACACCTCCCACGTACCCTGCACCATCAACGTCCCTTGCACCTCCCACGTCCTTTGCACCTCCCACGTCCCATGCACCTCCCACGTCCTCTGCACCACCTACGTCCCCTGCACTTCCCACGTCCCTTGCACCTACCACATCCCCTGCACCATTCACGTCACTTTCACGTCCAACGTTTCCTGCACCCCCCACGTCCCCTGCACCTCCTACGTCCCCTGCACCTCCCACGTCCCCTGCACCTCCCACGTCCCCTGCACCAACCACGTCCCCTGCACCTCCCACGTCCCCAGCACCTCCCACGTCCCTTGCTCATCCCACGTCCCTAGCTCCTGCCATGTCCCCGGCGCCTCCCACGTCCCTAGCACCTCCCACGTCCCCTGCACCTCCCACGTTCCTTCCACCACTCGCGTCCCTTGCACCACCCACGTCCTTTGCACCACCCACGTCCCCTGCGCCTCCCACGTCCCGGGCACGTCCCACATCCCTTACCCCTTCCACGTTCCTTGCACCTCTTACGTCTTCTGCATCTCCTACGTCCCTTACACCACCCACGTCCTCTGTCCCTCCCACGTCACCTGCACCTCCTACGTTCCCTTCACCTTCCACGTCTCCTGCACCACCCACGTCCTTTGCTCCTCCCACGTCCCCTGCACCCCACCACGTCCCTTGCACCACCCACGTCCCCCTGCTCCTTCTCCCTCTCCACCACCCACGTCCCCTACACCTCCCACGTCCCTTGCACCTCGCACGTCCCCTGCACCTCCAACGTCCCTTGCACCCCCACGTCTCCTTTCACCACCCACGTCCTTTGCTCCTCCCACGTCCCCTGCACCACCCACGTCCCCCTGTTCCTTCTTCCTCTGCACCACGCACGTCCCCTACACCTCCCATGTCCCCTGCACCTCCCACGTACCCATACCATCAACGTCCCCTGCACCTCCCACGTTCTGTGCACCACCCACGTCCCCTGCACCACCCACGTCCCCTGCACCACCCACGTCCCCTGCACCACCCACGTCCCTTGCACCACCCACGTCCCCTGCACCACCCACGTCCCCTGCACCACCCACGTCCCCTGCACCACCCACGTCCCCTGCACCACCCACGTCCCTTGCACCACCCACGTCCCCTGCACCACCCACGTCCCTTGCACCACCCACGTCCCCTGCACCTCCCACGTCCCCTGCACCACCCACGTCCCCTGCACCACCCACGTCCCCTGCACCACCCACGTCCCCTGCACCACCCACGTCCCCTGCACCACCCACGTCCCTTGCACCACCCACGTCCCCTGCACCACCCACGTCCCTTGCACCACCCACGTCCCCTGCACCTCCCACGTCCCCTGCACCACCCACGTCCCCTGCACCACCCACGTCCCCTGCACCACCCACGTCCCTTGCACCACCCACGTCCCCTGCACCACCCAAGTCACATGCACCACCCACGTCCCCTGCACCTCCCACGTCCCCTGCACCACCCACGTCCCCTGCACCTCCCACGTCCCCTGCACCACCCACGTCCCTTGCACCACCCACGTCCCCTGCACCACCCACGTCTCTTGCACCACCCACGTCCCCTGCACCACCCATGTCCCCTGCACCACCCACGTCCCTTGCACCACCCACGTCCCCTGCACCTTGCCTGGTAAATCAACCACGTTTTTCTGGGTGAAATCTCAGTATTGTGTAGT